AAAATAGTTTAAATAATAGTAATATTTATTAAACATCCCAAATTTGCATTTTTTTCAAAGGGAAAAAAATAAATAAGGTTTCCAGACTGACTTTATTGTAAATGTTCACGTCTTATAATACAGTTAAAACTCTTCAAACAGGTTTTCTTAAGCATAAGTATTTTAGACTAAAACCAATCGTTTTTTATCAAAATAATTAGATAACTTTCATTTAACATTTTAAATAACATCGAACGAAATATAAGTTGACTAAAAATTAGGAAATCTCGAGTTTATTAAATATATTTTTAATTTTTAAAGTTTATTCTTGATTATTTCAATACAAGAGCCAATGAAGGAAAAATGTCAAAAAATGCTTATAAATATCCCAGTCATAACAGGTCAATTAATAAGAGCATTTCTAGAATAATTTTTATAAAAATGTATTAAATAGTTTTTTATTTAACAATGTTTTTATTTTTGAATAATTCAATTTGTCTGTTTTTCTACTAAAAAACAAAATCAGAAACTAATTATCAAAAAGTGATATAAAGACAATTCATCTAAAAATAAATTAAAAATCGAATTTCTTTTTAAAACTGTAATACTCAATATTTAATAATAAAATTATTAAAAACCCCCATATAAAGAAATTCATTACTAAGAATTTCAAAATAATATGAAAAGTGGTGTCCTAATACTTTTCTTTGGACTGCTATTAACAGCAAACTGCCAAACATGTGATTGTGTGCCAATTGGAAATTCAATTTTTGATCAATTTAAAAGTCCAATCACAAACAATGTGTGTTCAGATGGTCAAATATCAATGAATACTACTTGTATATCAACCAATTTTGATTTTGGTAATATACTTGCCAATTTTGGAACTGTAATACTTTCAAATGACATCCAAATTACTGCTCAGTGTTGGATCAGTATAATGTTTTTAAATTTAGGTACCAACTATATAATTCGAAGTGACGGATATCTCCATTGTCAACATTTTAAAATTGAAAACAACGCACTTTTGCTAATAAACGATTCTTTTTCTATTGCCAAAGAAATGGAAATCATTAACCCCAAAATAGGTGAACCAAAAGTTGTTATGTGGAATATCAATAGACTTCACTTATATAAAAATTCATTCGATTTTGATATAATAAATCCAATTGGCAATGAACATTGCTTTGACATCTTTTCAATGAACAATGCTAGTTGTCTGAATTTTGATATCTCTGAAACAAGTCATTTGACTCCTGGAGACTTTCCTCGTCCTTTAAAAGAAGGTACTGCAAGTCTTCTATCAAATGGTCGACTTCTTCGATTTTGTCCAACAGACACACAAAAAGATAATATAGTGACTTGTACTTTAAACGATTTTTTATACAAAACGGAGTATAATGGAACTGCAGAATCTTATCCATTTGAATATCCACACTGCCCTTGTGACGATTTAAAAACGACATGCTATTTACAATTGAATCAAACATTAAATGCATTTGATTTCAATAATATATCTATGACAAGTACTACACTTGTTATCTCCAAAAGTGTCCAAATTTATAACGCGAATGAAATTAAAGAAATTCAAATAGAAGACGACGTCAAACTGAACATTTCTAAATTATACAAACAAACTTTTCTCTCGTTTTCTTTTGGGGAAATTGGTGTAAAAAATACATCTGAACAAGATATTTATGTAATAACTTACACGTCACTTATACACACTCTTTCTATATCAAATCGAATCCAATTTGATTTAGATATTAATGAAGACATTAAAGAAATCAGAATTGATGCAATTGGACAAGTAAATACACTAACTTTAAATGGTGATAGTTTCATTTCATTGGGAAAAAACATAGAAAAATTAAATCAAGTTAACTTGACTTCAAATTTTACTGAGGAAAACAGTGCAATTATTTATATTGAAAATTCATCAAGTGTGAATGGAATACTTCCAAACTGTATTTTAATGAAGACTTTACAAACTAAAAATGTCTGTTTAAAATGTATATTAGAGTTTATATTAGACAACGGCATTTGCATTGAAGATGCTAACTGTATATCTATTAATTCAAATAATAGATGTATTCAATGTGAAGATCATTACCATTTAAATGACAATAACACTTGCGTTTTAAATGAAATTGGCTGTTTAAAATGGACTAAAAATGAGTGTATTCAATGTGACAATGATTATATATTAAACATTAAACAATGTATTAAAAATTCAAATTGTTCGCTAACTAATGGTGTTAACTGTATAAAATGTTTAAATGGAGAACTTGCCAACAATTGTGAGACGTGTAAAGATGTCAATTGCTTATCGTGTGTGTATAACAAATGTCAAACATGTCAAAAGAATTTTTATTTAGCCAAAGACGGAGTTTGTCATCAAGTAGAAAATGGGTCTTTTGAAATTGGAAATTCAATTTTATATTGTGACGATCATTTTTATATCGACAATTTAGTGTGTAAAAAATGCACAGAAAAAGATCCAACTTGGTCTAAATGTGTTACTAACAAACCAACAAAATGTGTTTCATCCTATTACATGTCAGACATTGGAACGTGTGAATCGACAACATGTATCAATGAAGATGTTATAGAAGAAAATGGTCAGTGTGTTAATAACATCACTGATTGTGTGTTTATATCCAACAAAAAGTGTGTTGAATGTGATGACGATTTTATTATTAATTCAGATTTTAAGTGTTCCACAAGTGATGTAACAACTAATAAAACTCATTGTATTCAATCAACTAAATATGGGTGTATCAAATGTACAAGTAATTATTATTTAATTAACAATGAATGTAAAGAATGTGATTCTTCCTGTGAAACTTGTGTAACAAACTCTACATTTTGTCTTTCGTGTCCAGAGGGGACATTTTTAAATGATCACAAATGTATTACAAATGAAGAATTAATAGGAATTTGTACACAATTTATACCGACTGGGGGATGTGTGAAATGTAAAGACAAATATTTTAGAAATGGACTTTCATGTACAAATTGTGACACATCTTGTGGGTTATGTAACACCATAGAGACGTGTCTAACATGCAATATCACTAATTATAGAACAATAAATAATAAATGTCAACCACAAAGTAGTATAATAAATTGTGCAGTAAAAGTGACTCAAAAGGGGTGTTCTAAATGTGAAGATGGGTTTTATATAGTAAATACAAATGAGTGTGAAAGGTGTTCAGAGAGTTGTGCGACATGTGTAATATCACGAGATATGTGTACATCTTGTAATACCAACGAAGTTCTAATTCACTCAAAATGCTTGTCATTTGCATCTATAAAGAACTGTAAAATGGCTAAAAACTCAAAGTGCTCTAAATGTAATTTTTGGCACATTCCAAGTGAAAATGGCACATACTGCATATCTAAGGCAGTCTGGTGGGTTATTCTAATATTAGCAATTTTCGTAATTATTATTGTAACATTGATATTAGTCGCCACTTCTTATATACTGAAAAAAGTCCTCAAAACTCGACACACAAAAAAGATGGAAAAGGACACGACTGTGTTTCAAATGTCGAAATCGAATATTCAGTTTATCGCAATGGGAAATGGCGTTGTGGTGAATAAGACGGAAATTGTATTTAACAGTGGCGATGAGATATCCGTCAATGAAAAAGTGAGGGAATTGTTCTGTGTAGGTAACACGTCGAAGCACAACATGAAAGTCCAAATTTCGACTCAACACAATGAAAATATGAAATATGAAATTTTGTCAAATCCACTCACAATTATTTTAAAGAAAGGTTTTGCCTGCGAATTTGAAGTGTTTCTTACACTTTTATGTACCTCAAAAATTGAAAGTGCTTTTGTTCTTGTCACAAACGCATTTGACCAACAAACAGCATTTTGTAAAGAAATAAAAATTTCTGCCAGATCAAAACTTTCAACAAGACTCGACCCGGACGATCTGAAAGAAGAGAAAAAAATTGGCGAAGGATCATTTGGAGTTGTGTTTAAAGGAAGTTACCGTGGCAATGTCGTTGTTATTAAAAAGATGAAAAACACCCAAGAAAGTTTGACAGAGGAATTTACAAAGGAAGTTGAAATGTTAGATAAGTTCAGAAGTGAGTACATCGTCCACTTCTATGGGGCGGTCTTTATTCCTTCCAAATTCTGTGAAGTGACCGAATTTGCACAATTTGGGAGTTTACAAGACTTAATGAAACACAAAAAGAGTGAAGAAGTTGATATAAAAATTCGAGTTAAAATGATGATAGATGGAGCAAAAGGGATTTTGTATTTACATAACAATGGGATCTTACACAGAGACATTAAGCCAGATAATATTTTGGTCTTCTCACTGGATTTGAATAATAAAGTAAACACCAAATTGACTGATTTTGGAGCTTCGAGAAATGTTAATTTGTTGATGACTAATATGACCTTCACGAAAGGTATCGGTACTCCTAAGTACATGGCGCCTGAAGTGTTAAATCAAGAGAAATACAAGAAAGAAGCAGATGTGTATTCGTTTGCTATTACTATGTATGAGTGCTTTGGGTGGAAAGAAGCGTTTCCCAAAAATATATACAAGTTCGCGTGGGATATAGCAGATTCAATTGCAATAGGAAAGCGACCAAAGTTAGACGTGTTTAATGAGCAACAGAAATTAATTATTGAGAAAGCCTGGAAACATGATCCAAAACAAAGAAGTGATATATCTGATATTATAAAATCTTTGGAGTCTATGCATTTTTAATTTATTTTGTATTCTGTTTATTTTTGAAGTTTATATATAATATAATATAATATAATATAATATAATATAATATAATATAATATAATATAATATAATATAATATAATATAATATAATATAATATAATATAATATAATATAATCAATGTACAAAAAGTATTTATTTATTCACAAATAATAACATATGTAATTTAAAGTGTAAATTTCATAAGTTTAGAAACTTAGTAGTGTAATGTAGTTTATATGCTATATATCAGTTAATTTTATTCATTTTATAAAATGATTATTGATACAAAAATAACATTTTTTAATTATTTGCAAAACAGAATACAATTTAATTTAAAAATCGAATTAAAATATTTAAAAAAAATCATAACGACAAATGAATTAATTAAAATATGTTTTTGTTTGTAATGTATTTTTATATAAAGACGACAATAATAAAATATTTTATAATAACTTTTTAAATTAAATGTTTTTTATAGTTTATATTACTCTTAAGTTTTAAATAATATATAAAGATTATTGTCTAAACTTATAACTTAGCACTTATCAAATAATTTTTTATTATATGTTATAAATATATTGTTAATACAACAAGAATTTTCGGTTGATAATTTTAGTTGAATATTCCTGTATTTCATGTTTTAATTAAATCTATAGTATAATATTTGACCAAATATTTTAATTACAAGTTGGTTTCAGTTTTTCAAAATAAACAATTTTAATTTAATTTTGATTATTTAAAATGTTAAGATAATTAATACAAACCATTTGCATATGGCTATAAAGACGACAAAAACTTTTTTCGATGAACCCAAATAAAGATTTCGCTGTTTTTTATTTAGGGGCAAAATATGATGGCAACCCCATTAAATTATTAGTATAATAAAACGTATAAATTGTAATAGCATTTTTCTGGTTACTTTATATATATAATCCCGCTTTTTTGGTTTGCCCCAAATAACTAGATTATTGATATAAATAAATACTAAAGAATCTTTTGGTGTGAGCAAATAATCAAATATACATAATTGTTCATTTATTAAATAATTTACATGATAAATATCGTATTAATTCTAACAGTTATGAACAATTTTAAATAATTATTGGGACTTTATATCCTTCATATTTTTAATTTTCTTATTAAAAATGCCAAGTTGTCTATAACCCAAAAACTAATAAAAACACACCAAAGCAATGCTACTTTCTCTCATTTTTGCTTTCTTGGCATCAGTTACAAGTTATTACTGCGATGGCACAAGTGGTGTATTTACAGAGAAAAGTACTTCATGCACTTTACAGAGTGGAGTTGAGATGAGAACAACAAACACTCCCAGTGAATTAATTTTCACTTCTTACACATCAACAAATGTAGTTTTGAATGATTTTAATTACAATCTAATTCTTGGCACTTCTACGACGATGTGTACAATAAAAAGTTTAACAATAAAATCGAACACTCCAATTTTGAATACATACACCTTTCTAAATGTCGACCCAACACTTGTGATATATTTAGAAAGTGACTCTTCTGTCCACCAAAGAAGAATTTTTCTGAGCTCTTTGACTCTTCCAAGTAAAATCATCAATTCCAAAACCAACACACTTTCTTTCAATTTGTTTTTGAACGTCGACGGACTGCAACTTCCAGAGACAAACAACTATTTTCTATTTGAGGGATCTTTTTCTTTAACAACATCACCAACTCGGCAATACGTCGGTTACTTGTTTTCTTCCAACTCCAAAAATATTCAAGTTGAAAAAGTTGGTTATTCTGAAATAGTTTCTGTTGACTGTGTGAATGGGTACAAAAGGTATTATACATTTTTTGAGTCAATGGAGCATCACTTGACTTGTACGTGTCCGCCTAACGTTTTAAATGATAAGGAGTGCAAAGTTAATATGACATATAGTACTACTAATACTATTTTGGCTTATATGGCGACTGGAGACCAAAATATATACAAAAAAGAAGCGACTTATGAGACTGATGGAGACGTGGGGTACAAAAATGGCATGGTTTATGCGTATTTCTTTGAAAATAGAACACTCAATGTTGAAAATATTAATACAGGGACTTTTTTATTGTATGATAAATACGCTAATAGTAACAGTCTTGTAATTCAGGACAACTAGT